CAGGACTGTGGTGCCACAGTGCAGGGGTGGAGGTACAAGGAGGCGGCCTCGATGGGTGGCTGTTTCTTCCTCTTCCCTGAACTGCTCTGGCCTCAGGAGAGCCACACTGCCTCCGTGTGCTGTGCTCCAGCCATTGTTCGGTTGTCAGCCCAGCTGCAACCTCGTGTCAATGGTGCCTCTTGTAAGCCTTTTTGGACTTGGACCATGGACAACAAAACCTAGAATGTCTTTTGTTTAGTAGCACAGGGTCATGGCATTTACAGTGTTTATGGGGCTCTGAGGGTCATGGGAGGAAAAGCTTTTAACACCACTGACATAAGTTACCTTTTTAACCAAGGGTGCGAAAAGACGAGAAAAGAGACTAGAAGTTGAGGTCATGGGGACAGTGGCTCCTATGGCCCCGGGACACCCTGCATTTCTAACCAGGTGAACACTGTGAAGGCTTTTCAACTGAAGAGAGTGTGAGAGTGTGTGCCTCTGTGTCTGGGTGTGCATGCAGATCTCTAAGTGTGTGTACACGCATTGTCTCTGTGTCATTGTGTGTATGTCTCTGTGTGTGCGATTGTGTGTGCATGTCTCTGAGTGTGCAGTTGTATGTGTGTGCATGTCTCTGTGCATGTCGGTGTCTATGTGTGCGTTTGTGTGTGTGCATGCGTGTCTCTGTGTGTGCCTTTGTGTGTGTTCACGGATGTGTGTGTGCGTGTGATCATCTTCCAGGTGCACTTAGCCCTTGTAATGCCTGTTGCCCTAACAACAGTGCTAACAACAACAATGGAGTCCTGCTCAGGGACACCCACTTTCCTGGGGTCCTCAGTCCACACCTACAGATGTCACAGCACCACCTACACTGAGACAGACTCAGAAACCCCTGAAAGCACAGCCAAGAGAAACAGGACACTTCCGAAAGTCTGTGGGTAAAACGGAATTTGAAGGTGCACTTGTTGTGGTGAAAACTATTGAAATCCACGCATAGTTTTTCATAATAAGCATTTTCCATGAAGTTTTTGAAGACTCTGAAAGCCTCCGTTTCCCTAGTTGAGTGGCTTTAGCCCTGGCTGACCTTAGAAGACCCACTTGGGAAGATTTTTCTAAATGCCAGCGCCCAGGCCCATCTCCAGGTGAGTCTCTCTGGGGGTGCAGCTGAGAATCTGGATTTTTAAAGGTGATTTCAATCGGAGTCTATATTTTTAAAGTTTTTCTTTTTTGTATTTGATATACAAAAAAATTAGGAAGATCTCCCATCTGCTGGATCACTTCTCAAATGCCTGCACGGCCAGGAGCTGGGTATTCAATCCAGATCGCCCAGGTGGATGCAGGGACCCAACTCCTTGAGCCGTCCCCTGCTCTCTCTCAGAGTGTGCATTAGCAGGGAGCTGGGACTGGGAGCTGAGCCAGGACCGAAACCCAGGCACTGTGACACGGGATGTCTGCATCCAATCTATCTCCTAACCACGAGGCCAAATGCTCGCCCCGGAATTAATGTATTTTTTAAAAAAGATTTATTTGTTTGAAAGTCAGAGTTACATAGCAAGAGGCAGACAGACAGAGAGAGAGAGAGAAAGAGAGAGAGAGAGGTCTTCCATCACTGGTTCACTCCCCCATTGGCCGCAACGGCTGGAGCTGTGCTGATCCAAAGCCAGGAGCCAGGAGCTTCTTCCAGGTCTCCCACACGGGTGCAGGGGCCCAAGGACTTGGGCCACCCTCGGCTGCTTTCTCAGGCCACAGCAGAGAGCTGAACTGGAAGAGGAGCAGCCGGGACTCAAACAGGCGCCCCTATGGGATGCCGGCACTGCAGGCAGCAGCTTTACCCACTACACCACAGCGCCAGCTATTTTTAAAGGCTGCCTACATACACTGACTATGCAGTCAGATCCCTTTGCAGACTGGAAACAGCCCGGAGGAAAGCGAAGTAACCAAGCTCCTGTTGTACGCGGCCAGCTCTCCGTTATTCTGCGGCGTGACTGACGGCACACTGGGGCTGGCCAGCTGCTCAGGCCGAGTCTGATGACATGGATGCGACGGGGCAGCATCAGGGCCTGTCAAAGGCTCCAGGCCGCTTGGGAATGGCATCTGACACTGCTGAGACTGCGGCCCAGGAGGGAGAGACGGAGGCGAGCAAACCCCGAACATGAGCCCTAGTTGCCCTTCAGCAAAGAATCAGGCTTGAGCTGTCACAGTACTCGATCTCTCTCTCCAAGGTCAATGGGAATGAAGAGGCCTCTTGGCTTGATTTCTCCCCCTAAAGCAAGTGTTTCAATAATCTCCATTTTCCGCCTCACTACAGGAGCCATTGTCCCGCGTGTTTGAGTGTAAGGGAAATAAAACCATTTCTGCAAGAAATGGCATTGCTTGTTTAACCCTGCTTGTAAAAAGGTTGCTCAACTGGCAGAGACGAAAGGCAGCGTTTTTCAAAGCACAGAAAACCACCGATTGCCCAGTAGAGAGGTTGGAACCTTTGGAGCCTCACTTTTTAAGTGGAAAAATACCCTTTTCTTCTTCTTTTAAAAACTGTTTTATTTGAAAGGCAGAGTTACAGAAAGAGAGAGGCAGAGACGTGAGAAAGTGTTCTTCCATCTGCTGGTTCACTCCTCCAATGGTCACAGTGACCAGGGCTGGGCCAAGCAGAAACCAGGAGCCAGGAGCTCCATCCTGGTCTCCCAGTTGGAAGCAGGAGTCCAAGGCCCTGGGCCATCTTCTGCTGCTTTCTCAGGCGCATTAGCAGGGAGCTGGATCAGAAGTAGAACAGCGGAGACTCGAACCTGTGGCCATCTGGGATGTTGGTATTGCAGGTGGTGGCTTAACCTGTAGCGCCACGCCGCCGGCCCCTGTTTCCTTCTTTGTTGCTCACAACCATGGGTTCACGGTGGGAAGCTACAAAACTAGGCTTTTGTAAACGATACTGTTTAGGATTGGGAGGTTGGGAGAAGTGAGGTTTTCATTCTCACGATGAGAACTGTGCTAACACCTAGACCCAACCATTACACAACGTATGTGTGCATCAATACTTCACCCTGTATCCCCTAAGTAGGACGTGCAATTATTATGCATCAGTTAAAAACAAACAAAAAGACTGAGAACTTTTTTTCTCTTCCTTTAGCCAAACTGAATCCCATGCGCTTGTCCAACCCCGGGGTCCTCATCCTCGTCCTGAATTCACTGTCTCCGGATGGGAACCTGTTGGCTGCCTCAGGGCCCCCTGCTGCCCCAGCCCTTCCTCTTCTGCCCCCAGCTTGTCAGCTCCTGCGGAACCAGTAGGTGTGTGTGGGGGGGTGCTGGGTGCCTCAAGAGGGAAGCATTACTCAAAGGGGACTCTCCATCCCTGGGTCCACCTTCTGCAAACATGTCAGCAACAAAACGCTTGGGCTGGGAGGCCGGAGCACAGGGATGGAGGATTATGCAGGAATCTTGTGGCCCTGTAAGCCCAGGATATAATCCCCCAGGCCAGCTGCTTATAAACAACGTTGGAAGACCACAGCTGCCTCCCTCAGAACTTCCAACTGCTTGATAAGAGGATTTGAAGATGTCTAAACACGGCTTGGCCAGTCCATTCACTTTCAGCGGCCGAAACTCCTGGAACTGGTCAGGACACATCTTGTGTTTACCAGCTCCACCACGGCCCTGGTCTGCTAGAGTGGACGCTGGGAAGACAGGAGGGGTGGGGAAGAACACTGTCTCCCCTGAGCCCTGAGGTGGATGTGGCTTTGCCAAACAAAGCCTTGGAAGTAAACGGGCTCAGAGCTCACCTAGGCTAGTGCCAACGCATTGCATGGCCTGGGATTTTACCTCTGCTTGCAAAAAGAGATTTGTGCCGGCCCCTGCACAGGTGTCCTACAAGCCAGAGACCCTTGTTCTGCTCAGCATCCGGTTGTCAGGAGGGTAACTGCACCCTCCAGGATCCTTCCCTTGTATTCACTGGGTCCAGGTGGGAAATTGTAGGTCTGACTCCTTTCTTGCTACCTTCCTTCCTGTAACTGGAACTTACAGTATGGGACTGGGAAAAAATAAGAAATACTGGTGAGTCCTCTCTACACGCAGACATTCAGAGACAGATTTTCCTGCCGGAGGAGGACTTGCTACCCTGGGTCTGGATGGAGGTCAAAGCCACCTTAATCGTAACCTGGCACTGCTGTCGGTGGCTGCTCTGTCGCTGCGTGGGGAGATGGCACTGAGTAAGAAATGAGTGAGCCTGCACTCTGATCCTAATCCTGGAGTGTAGCCTGTGTGTGTGTGTGTGTGTGCACCTGCATGTGTGGACATACACACAGTGTATACACAGTCCTGATCTGGTTTTCCCTTGTTTGTCAAATAGCAAGGTTAAAACCTGACCCCCTTGACCTCACAGGATAGAGAGAAAAAGAGAGAGAGGGAGAAGGCGGGGAGAGGGGGAGGGAGATGATAAGAAACTGGCCCCTGCCATCATGGAGGCTGACAAGTCCCAAGGGGGCTGGGCAAGCTGGAGACCAGGGAGAGCTGAGGGTGTGAGTTTCACGCTGAAGGCCAGCAGGCTTGAGCTCCAGGAAGGGCCGATGTTAATTCTGCTTCCAAAGGCAGGAGAAAGGCAAAGTCCCGGTCTGCAGGCAGCCAAGCAGGAGACATTCTCTCCTACTCAGCGAAATGATCAGCCTTTTGTTCTCTCCAGGTTCTCCACACGAGACCCATCCACGATGGAAGGCCATCTTCTCTACTCAGTCCACTGATCTACATCCAAAAACACCCTTACAGAAACATCCAGAATAATGACTGACCAAATATCTGGATGCCCTGTGACCCAGTCACACAAACTTCACCACTGCAGTGGAGCAAGAGACAGCACTGGACCCCGGAGAGAACACCACTTCCGGACCCGGCAGCTCAGGTTCAAGTTCCAGCTCTTTTCCTTGCTGGCTTTATGACTTCCCGGTTCCTCAGTCTGTCTGAGGCTGCCTCTGTAGAACCAGGGTGACGGAAGTGCCAGCATACCACACACAGCAGGCACCAAGGTGTTAGTTGTTATGGATGTTAAAAAAAAAAAAAAGGACTTTTATAAGTTTTGATTACTTGTTGCTTTTGATGTATATTATTATTTTGGGTGAAAGGGACTGTGGGACATAGAAAATATAAGACGGAGAAAGAGGCTTTCGTATCAACAAAGAAAAACTCACGGGCCAAACGGTGCTATAGACCTTGTTAACACAAACTTACTCTCCAGGGAGTCAGTCAGGATCTGTGAGTCCTGGAGATGTCAGAACTTTCAGCTCCTCTAGAGAAAACTCCCCCTGCTCTCCCCCAGAGGTTTGTGAGCCCACGTGGCCTTGGGCTCTAGCCGGAAGGTGGCTGTGCTCTTTGCTGAGCTGGGACTGGGGCACGTTATATGCCTGAGTGTCAGGTGATCCAGAAACCTGACCCATGGGGACCTTGACACTATCATTCCCCCCCCCAAAAAAATCAAATTATTGTTTTGATCCAGAAATCAAGTTGGAAACCTCTCCCACCATTGGTGCCGGTTTTCAAGACACAGTAATGGGCTGAAACGACGGCCTGCTGGTCCAGACGAGGCTTGGCCAACCTGACACCTCACTGCGGTACTGCTCCTCCTTCCAAAGTCCTGTTGCAGCACACAGGTCCTGCGTCCTCCTTGCACCCGAATCAGACCCAAAGAACAGCATAAGGTTAGAGACGGCCTAGATGGCGATGCGAGAAATGCAGGCGCTGCACTGGCCAGACGAGACTGCTGGGGGCCAGCAGAACGGCTCTCACAGAGTGTGAGATATTTGGGGTTTGGCAAACCCTAAGAAGCTGGCTGCCAAGTCCCACTGCCCCCTCTCCCTCTAGTGTATTCCAAAGGAAATTAAATCCACATGTTTCTGATTTGCTGACACTTAAAGCGCTTCCAAAGGTGGTTTTGCAAGAGTGGTTTGGACACGAGGAGTCCAGAGAAACTTTAATTATTATTGTTATTTTTCATTTTGAAATGCAGACCTGTACGCTTACATAATACATGCCATGCCTACAAAGTCAGAGCCCAGTTTTGCTTTACCAAAACGTTTTGTCCTGGGCCCACCAGGACAGATAATAGAAGCCAACTGGAGAAGAGCAATGGTGACCTTAACTTAGACATTCATTTTGAAAAATAGCACTGTCCACTGCCTCTTTTCACTGGGCAGCACCTACGAGATCAAGTTAGTATTCAAAAATAGAAGCCTTCTATCAGATCTAGGGATTACATTACTTCTTCCAACTCTAGCCAAGGCAGTGAAAGCCTAAATTCAAGATGGCGCCCACGGTAGGTTCTGCATGTGAGGTCCAAGGTCCAAGGACGTGACACCTGGCTCCTCTGGGGCAAGAGGCCGAGGCAAGGTGTGCAGTAGAATGTTCTGGAATGCCCTGCCATGTCTGCGAGGGGAACTTAATCCACCTAACTTGTTTCAGTCCAGCATAGGGAACTCCCTCAAGTCCCTCCATGGTGAGTTGCCCTCCCTCCTGGGTACTCTGAGACCTCGTCACGTTTAAGCAATCAAGTACAAGGTCACCAGCACAGCGTGGATCCCCGCCCCCGACCCCACCCCCAGACTGCTGGGTCCTTGAGGCCAGGAACCCGGGATCTCTGTCCCTGTGCCCTCAGCACCTGCCTCAGGGGTGGTGAAAAGTCACTGTAGCTTCCTTGGCTGACTTCACACCCTGGTTCTTCCTGCAGCCAGCCTCAGTTTCCCCAATGGCTCAGCTCTGAAAACAGGAAACGCCAAAAGACATGAGTGTTACAGATTCACTTGAATTCGTTTCTAGGGGCTGCAGAATAACAGGTCACAAAGTGGGCAGCTGAAGCTGCAGACATCTGTCGTCGCAGCGTGGGGAGGCTGGGGAGTCTGAGGTCACGGTTGGGGCCTCATGCGGGCTGGGGCGGGGGGTAGAGAGAGGCGGGACCTGCTGCAGACCCTTCTCCCAGCTTCTGCTGCCTCGCTGGTGATCCTTGCTGCTCCTTGGCTGGTCGATGCACCACCCCAGTCTCTGCCTTCATCCCCACACGGCATTCTCCCTGTGGCCATCTGTGCCCTCCAAACACGGACACGGCCGTTTCGGATTAGGGCCCACCCTAATGGCCTCATTTTAAGTGGATCATTGCAAAAGCCCTACTTTTTCTTTTCTTTAAGATTTATTTCTTTATTTGAAATTAAGAGTTACACAGAGAGAAAGAGAGAGACAGAGAGAGAGAGAGAGAGATCTTCCATCCACTGGTTCACTCCCTAAATAGCCTCAATGGCCAGAGCTGGGCCAGGCTGAAGCCAGCAGCCAGGAACTGTACCTAGGTCTCCTACGTGGGTGGCAGGGGCCCAAGGACTTGGGCCATCTTCTGCTGCTTTCCCAGATGCATTGGCAAAGAGCTGGATGGGAAATGGGGCAGTCAAGACTGAAGCTGGGTTCCATATAGGATGCCCGCGCTGCAGCCGGCAGCTTAACCCGCTGCACCACAATGCCAGCCCCAGGGTCCGTCTCAACACACGGTCACATTCACAAGTGCGGGGGTGGGGGGGACTTCAAAATCTTTTGGGGGAGCACAATGCAACCTATAACACCATCTTGGGATAAAGAAAAAGAGAGAGAGAAGAAAATGAAAAACGTCAGCTTAAACGCAGGATTTACACTTTTGAAAAACGGAAGGGCTTGTTGTTCACCCTGCTGCAGGGACCCCAGGGGCACACCAGGGCTGTCCTGAGCCGGCCACTGGCTCACCAGCCCTTCCCATGCAAGGCTGTGTCCTCACCTCCCCGGCAGGCACAGCTCCCTTCATCCGTGTTCCCCGGCGAGTCCAGTCTGTTTTATACACAGTCACAGCGAGACCGAGGGATTAGCTGGATGCCGGCTGTAGTTAATTTACTGTTTCCACTCACCAAATGCAAGCCCAATCGCAGCAATTAATTTGTCCAGATCAAATCAGGTCCTCCTTACACCTGTTTCCCCGTTTAATTAGGTTCGAATCTCTGGGGGCAGCTGGAGGCACCGTGGTGCCTCACCTACGCCTTGGAATAGGAGGGCATGTGTGAGACCCAGCCGCCGCCGCAGTGCAGGGGCGCCGGCCCCGGGATGGCACTGGCCCTTCCGTGCGGAGCTCTGTCTTACAGTCGGGGTCCTCTGTGCCTGGCTGGGGACAGGAGCCCATTTTTCATCACAACCTTCCCTTCACCCCCTCCCAAGGGGAGAAAATGTTCCTGGTGGGACTTCTTTGTGAGCTAATTGTTGGCCCAGAGTCAGGCTCATAGTTAAGGCTGTCGGTCTAATTAGCCCTCTGTCTAATTAGCCTGCCTATCAGCAGCGCCTGATATGATTCCTCGGGATAATGAAGTGGGGGGAACAAAGAGGCTGCCTTCTCTTCTCCCCTTCCCAATATTTTGGACTCTTCCTTTTGGAAGATGACCCAACGCTAATGAGACACGAGTCACTTACCGCTGGGGTGCAAACAGAGAGATAAATGACATCAGTAATTAAGTCGCAGGTTCTCTTGGGTATAATGGAGCCATTTGTCAGCCAATATTATTCAATTAATTAATTCCATTAGGGCTACCGAACTCCCCCAAATCCAGCCTTTCAGCTGTCAGCTCTGAGAATCTGTACAATACAAAAATAGAATGGTGAATCAACGCAGCTGAAACCAAGAGGAAAAATATTTCCTCCACCACAGGAGACCCAGCTAGAAGCCTCCGCTGTGTGGACGTGTGCGTGCTCATGGCCAGCCACGTGATCCTCCCCAGCACAGACTGGACAAATACGGTGGGCTCCTGAGCTCAGTCTTTAGCAGAGAAAGGGGGATTGGTCCAGGTCATCTTGGTACGCCCTAGCCATCATCACTGGCAAGGCCCCCGGGGAGCCTCCCACCCATTGCCAAGGAGGGACCAGGGACTCGGCGGACATGAAATGGACTGTGAAAGGGCCGTGGGGGGATGGGCAGGTTCCCAGGCAGCAGCTCCCAACCCACGTGTTCCACGTGTGCCTGTGTTCTTTACTGAAGAGTTATTTTATTTTGTTTGAAAGGCAGCGTTAGAGAGAGGGAGAGACAGAGAGAGAGAGACGGCTTCTATCTGCTGGCTCACTCCCCCAGTGCGTCTCATAAGCCTGTTAGGGCTGAATGGGGATGGGGAAGGGTGCTGCCGCCTGGATTCTCAGCTCGGTGATCCCAGGGGGCCTCTGCTCAGCACTCCCCACACCGCCCTCTAAAGCCCATTCACAGAGATGACCAAGGCAACCCCTTGGCCGGGCATGCTCACGTCTTCACTCCCAGACATCATCTCAGCATCCTGGCTGGGGTTTGCCGCGGACCATGGTGCCTACAAGAGCTTTAGCAAAGAAAGATTATTTTGGAGCGAGATCCCAGCCCTTGGGTGTCGGGGGACCGGAAGGAACAGCGTGGGAAGAGAAGGCGGCGACAGGATCCGGATCACCTTCGGTGACAGCCCTCCAAGAAGCTGTGTCAGATGCACCTCAGAATGTCCAGCCTGGGCACAGGTGATTCTGACCACTCAGGAGGCCCGCATCCCTTCTGAGTGTGTGGGTTCGAGTCCCGCCTCCACTTCTGATGCCAGTTTACAGTGAATGCACATTAGGGAGGCAGTGAGTGATGGAGATCTTGTGGGAGACCCAGCGGCAGTTCTGGGCTCCAGCCTTTGGTCGGCCCCACTCTTGTTCAGGGCCTTGGGGGAGTGCACTAGCAAATGGAACTCTTTGTCTGTGTCTCTCTGCCTTTCAGCACAGAAAAAGGAGCCCATTTACCTGCAAACTTCCATCCTGTTTTGGTCCCAGCTTGCCCTCTGGGGGGTTGAATGTCTCACTCCAGGTGGCACCTACCTGAGTGCTGGGATACTCAGTGAAGAGAGGGAGACGCATGGTGATGCCAGCACCATCCAGTTGTCCCAGCACACAGCCAGCTGCCCCTCAATGACTGGTGCAGAAACTGGGCCAGAAAATGAGGGCTGCACACAGAAGATGTTCAATACAGTGATTAGCAAAAAGAAGAAACTGGGAGGAAAAAAGGTGTATTATAAATTCCATGTTAGTATCATTTTAATAGACAAATATATTTAATTATTAAATATGAGGATGAATATCATTTCATGAATGTGTTCTAAGATGTGCCTACATCCCCCTTTCTAGAAATTCCTACTGCATTCTGCCCAGAAGTTCTAGGAGATGGTAACTAAACCAAAAAAATTCATGACAACCATTTCAAGGCCGTGAGTTATACGTAGTACTTCAAAGTTTGTGGAAAAATGCAATTAAAGGATAAGGTCATTTTGATGCAAAAGAAAGGGACCCAGGTAGTTTTTTTACAATGCACATTTTCTGTGAACTTTCTGAATCCCCCCCCCCACATACACACAAAGAGGAAGTCATTGAGGATCACTGTTCATCAGTGACGCCTGGCGCTCAGATTCCAATAGAGGATGAAATTAACTCGGAGTTGAGGTATCGAAACTCGCTTTCAGATCCCAGTTCTGAAACTTTTACATTTTGTGCTTGTAATATCAACTAGCGCTCAATAAACAGAAACAAAATTTAGACATAATTTCCTCTCTCCTTCCTGAAATTCTCCCAACACCTGAGGTTCAAGGTATCCACAGGGGGACACATCCTGTGAGGAACACGCTACCTCGGATCAAGTTCATCATCACGAGGTGATTCCCCGAATTACCCACCCAAGTTTCAACATCTGTGTTGCTAATACTTCCAGTCTTTAACAAACGACCGGCTCAGGATATGGACTAAAGAACATTTGGTTAAAAACAGCCAGTCCCACCGCAGGGGCTCAGCACGCGGCTAAATTGATGGAGGCTGAGACGCACTGCCTGCTGCACATGCGCACGAGGCGCCCCCCGCCAGGGGCTTTGGAATCCTTAGAGCGGAAGCCAGATCTTACACAGCTTCCGAAAATTTCTATCCTTGAAATTTTTTGAAAATATGGTAAAGTGCAGATACTGGATATAATAAGCCCTCAAATACCCCACCCAGCCCAAAGAATTGTCATGGCCAATATTGAACACTTTTTATTTATTTGCTTGTTTAGGATTTAAACAGGCATCATTTTGCTGCGAGAGACAGGAAGCCGGGGAAGACCTCTGTGGCTTCTTGAGGGTGTGCGACCTACCGGCTCTTGGGTTCACTGACCTCGTTTCTATCCTCTCTTTATACAAGGGAATGCTATCTTCTCCCAGTCTCGAGGGCTGTTTCTCATGCTTGCAGCAAAATGAAGTGGACTCTGTCTGATTTCAGCAACGGTGACATCTAATCCCAGTGGTAAGGGATGGAATTTTCCAGTGCAAGAAGCAACAGAAAGAACAGAGGCAACGCTGCCACAGGCTCCTCTCAGGATCCCCAGCTGTGCTACCAGGCGGCCCAGGGACCCAGCGTCTGGATGAACAGTGGGAGGGGGGGGATAATCTGACAATCGGGTGATTGTTCTCTCTCTGCAAGCAATCCTGCTATTTCTGACCCCTCGGTGGGTTGTGCTGGCAACAAACAGACTCCGCCTGGGTCTTCTCCCTATAGAAGCCGCAAGCCTGCAGGCAAACAGGGGGAGAGCCTGTTGCCTTCCAAGAAAACAGCCCCGCACCCCAGGATGGCGGTCACCAAGCGTTTTCTCGCAAAACACAGAAGTGAGCAGGACAGCCCCTCACCTTGTCACGTTTGTTCACAAAGAACCCAGAGCCAGCAACGTGGATCAGCTTCTGGCTTTTTGTCCAAGTGCTTGCCTGCTCGTCTAGAAAAACACCAGCGCCTGCCAGGGATCTGCAGCCCCTAAATCTGAAAATAACGACTGGCCTATCCAGGGTTTCCATCCAAGCAAGTATTGGTGCCTCCTCAAGAAACCCCTTTGGGGTGAGAGTCAGCAGTGCAGGAAAAAGCATGCGGTTATTTTTATTTTTTGCCACTTCTTGGCCCCCGTCTGCACTTTGGAGAGAAAGGGAAATCTATTTTTGAAATCAGTTATTCAGCTCTCAAATCACATCAGCCCATAAAGCACATCTAATTGAAATGTTGATTCCAAATTTTACTTAACTTTAAGACTTTTTGGTCCCCTGCTATTCTCCTGCTCCAAGCACACACACAGCCTCACGCTCACATGCTGTCTCCTTGGCTCATACAAGGGGACTCGAAAAAGTTTATGGAAAACTGGAAATAAAAGATATGCTTATTTTAGTGCAAAAATTTTTTTTCCAAATCCATGCATAGCTTCTTTATAATATGCATTTTCCATGAATGTTTCGAAGACCTGCTGTAGATGCTCAAGTCTCAGAATAGGTTCAGGAATGACTGCCACTGTTTGCATACAACAATTTCCACCTTTTTAAAGAAATTATAAACAGGAAGGATCATGGGGAAGGTCCGCTGGCTTCCTTCATGTGTCTGTGCTTTAAAACTGGCCATGTCACTCCTCACAACTAGGCATTAAAGAAAGAATGATGTGCTCATGAGATATGAGGGGAGGGGCCGGCCACGTGGCGGAGCAGGTAAAGCCACCGCCTGCAGTGCCGGCATCCCATATGGGCGCCTGTTCACGTCCTGGCTGCTCTTCCGATCCAGCTCTCTGCTACGGCCTGGGAAAGCAGTGGAAGATGGTCCAAGTCCTTGGGCCCCTGCACCTTTGTGGGAGACTCGGAAGAAGCTCCTGGCTCTTGGTTTCAGGTTGGTCCAATTCCAGCCATTGTGGCCATTTGAGGGAGTGAACCAGCAGATAGAAGACCTTCCTCTCTGTCTCTTGCTCTCACTGTCTGTAACTCTACCTCTCAAATAAGTAAATAAAATCTTAGAGAGAAAGAGAGAGAGAAATGTGGGAAAAATGAAGTGCAAGGGGATGAGGGCAAAGCTAAGGAATTGCACAGTAGTGTAGGGTATTACAGTGGATGCCTGAGTCATCACCCACCAACCTGGAGCCTGGAGGCAGGGGTCATGCACAAAGTTCACTGCGGCCTTAGAAAACTAGTAAGTTGGGGCCGGTGCTGTGGCGTAGTGGGTAAAGCCGCAGCCTGTACTGCTGGCATCCCATATGGGCGCCGGTTCGAGACCCGGCTGCTCCACTTCCCATCCAGCTCTCTGCTATGGCCTGGGAAAGCAGTAGAAGATGGCCCAAGTCCTTGGGACTCTGCACCTACATGAGAGACCAAGAGGAAGCTCCTGGCTCCTGGCTTTGGATCGGCTCAGCTCTGGCCATTGTGGCCATCTGGGGAGTGAACCAGTGGATGGACGCTCTCTCTCTCTCTCTCTCTCTGTGTGTGTGTGTGTGTGTGTGTGTGTGTAACTCTGACTTTCAAATAAATAAATAAGTCTTGGAAGGAAGGAAGGAAGGAAGGAAGGAAGGAAGGAAACTAGTAGGTCCAGATACTCGTGCACTCATCCTGATCAGCCCATGCATTGGATCCCCTAAACTATGAGCACCTCTGCTTAGCCAGCCTACCTTAACCATGCACAGAAAACTCCCAGAAAGCCCATTTTATCATCAAGCAATATACTGAGGATTGCACCGGACGTGCTCCTAGCCTGGGAGCAAAGCCAAGTTCAAAATTCGAGTACGGTTTCCACAGGCTGTGCGTCGCTTTCACACCCTCCCCCCAAACCCGGCGGTGTGACGTGTGAATTGTAACATCTCTGACAACCACATTTGCATGCAGACAAGAAAATGACTTCTGGATCCACATGGCAGCTTCCTTGTTTGCAGGGAGAGTCAAGAAAATGCATTGCATTGTTTTCCAAAGAGGGAAAACAAACTAACAAACAAAAACCTTACATTTCTAGTGGCCACAGAGGCGGTGGCCACCCGAGTCAGTCTGTCTTCAGGTTAAAACCCAGAAAGGCTCACCCTGTCCCCGAGCGGGCTGCAGCTGGTCTCGCCTTGACCCATTTCAAAGGCAAAGGAAACTCCCCGCCCTCAGAGCCCTGGCTTGGCATCGTTCACCCAGAGTGCAACAGAGCCCCCCGCCCTCCTGGTCCCGCTGTGCCCACAGCACAGCTGCTCTCTGCCCCCAGGACCTGTCTTCTCACTCCTAGAAGCTGATGCAGGACTTATTGTTGCTGAATGACTGAATGCACGTAGCAATGATGAGGGTTTTTTAAAAGACTTATTTTCTTTATTTGCAAGGCAGAATTATAGAGAATGAGAGAGAGAGAGAGAGAGAGAGAGAGAGAGAGAGAGAGAGAGTCCATCCTTTGGTTCACTCCTCAAATGGCTGAAATGGCCAGGGCTGGGCCAGGCCAAAGCCAGGAGCCAGGAGCTTCATCCGGTCTCCCACGTGGATGGCAGGGTCCCAAGCACTTGGGCCATCTTCTGCTGCTTTCCCAGGCACATTAGCAAGGAGCTGGATGGGAAGTGGAGCAGCCAGAACTCGAACCTGCACCATACGGGACGTTACACCACAGCGCCAGCCCCCAGTGATGAGATTTTTAAGTCATACTGGGCCAATTAACCTCTTGTTAGGAAAATAAAGGACGGGGGTGGGCGAAAGTGAAATCCACCTTTATAGTTTTAGTCTCAAGCTTCATTGGACACAGAAATGGTAACAAAAAGACCTAACGACAAGGAAACTGAGTCAGAGGACGCACAGGGTGGTGGTGACCTGGACTCCTAGGATTCCTAGGACTGCCCATTTTAGGATTCAAAGTCCCACATTCCTGGAAATGCTTCAGATCTGGGCAAATGGGGAAAGCTGATCACTGTGCAGGCTGTCAGTGACTCTGAAGAGGGCCCGTGTTGTGGCACAGCAGTGTTAGCACTGCCTGTGGTGCCAGCATCACATATGGACACTGGTTCAAGTCCCAGCTGTTCCACTTCCGATCTAGCTCCCTGCTAATGCTCCTGGGAAAGCAGCAGAAGATGGCCCAAGTGCCTCAGCCCCTGCCACCCATGTGGGAGACCCTGATGGAGTTCCAGGCTCCGGCTTTCAGCCTGGTCCAGCCCCGCCCGACCATTGCGATCACTTGGGAAGTAAACCAATGTATCGACTGGCTTTCAAATGAATAAATAAACCTTCAAAAAAAATGATGCTTGGAGACCAAAATTCCAAAGTTAGCAATAGCTGAGAACAGCAAAACTCGAGAGGGCTCATCACAGAGACACATACAAGAGTCCCCCCTCATTCACACACCCCCTCCCAGTAGACGCCCGGAACTGCACAGCACACCAAACCCTACACTGTTTGTTCCACTATACCTACATACTCGTGATAAAGTTTAATTCATCAATTAAGCATAGTAAGAGATTAACAATAAGAGCAAAATAGAGTAAGTATAACATGTAGATATTCTGCAATGAAAGTTATTTATAACTCATCAATATTTATTTCTGGATTTTTCTATTTAATACTTTTGGACCCTGGCTAACTTCCAGTAACTGGAACCTCAGAAAGCAAAACCGTGTAGAAGGGGGGACTGCTGTAGACACCCTGGCCCCTCCCCCTCTCCACGGGGTCCTCCATCTCAGCTCCCCGGTAATGTCCTTCGTTGTACTTAAAATAACAACCATTTTTCTGCTGATCCACTTACTGTCTGCTCTCCCTACTCGGTGGGAGCTCCATGTGTGCAGGGAGGCCACCTAGGGTCATCCAGCTGGTTTCCCCTGTAGAACATTCCCCAGCAACCAGGATGGTGGAGAACTGGCTCCCAGGGAGAGAACCGTACCGCATCCCCCGACTCTAGAATGCACAGCTTCTCCCAGTTTGATGTCTCTGAAACCCAAGTGCACCATAATCAACGGTGCCTCCAAAAGCCACCGGCAAAGTGGCAGTCGTGACGTGGCTGCCGGGGCCTTCGCGCTGCACCTGCTCGGCGCTGGCTGTCCACATGGTTATCACTTCGGTGGAGACACGTGCATTAGCGAGTTGGGCTGCCATTTAGAACTGTCCTCGGGGGGGCGGGCACGTGGCCTAGCAGTTAAGAAACCTGTTAAGATGCCGTGCCCTACGCTGGAATACCTGGGTTCAACTCCTGGCTCCAGCTCCTGACTCCAGCTTCCTGCGAATGCAGACCCTGCGAGGCACCAATGATGGCTCAAATAATTGGGTTCCTGCTACTCACATGGCAGAAGTGGGCCAAGTCCCCAGCTTCCAGCCCCAGCTGTTGTGGACATTTGGGGGATAAAGCAACAGATGGGAGCTCTCTTCTCTCTCTCTAGCTCTCTCCTAAGTTAAATAATTCTTTGAAAACAAGAAGTGCCCTCTAAAAGATTCCATGGTGACGCAGCGCTGAGATGACAAGCTACCGTGCACCCAGAAAGGCACAGAAGCCGAGCAGGAGGATGGAAATGTGATCAGTGCAGAGCGTTTGTCACAGAAGGCATGGGCAGGCGTCCACATTTGCTTACAAAGGAACAACCCAGGATGCTGGAAACCTGAGGAAGGAAGGTCCCCGCGGCTGGGCGAGCTGTGATACTTGCTGTCAGCAAGCGATCTGCTTCATGGCCACGCCCCTCAGATGAGAAGGCTGACTTAGAAGGAATCTGATACAGCGGATCCACATGTCACTCGAGATTGTCATCCAAGCCCCCCGTCATAGACTTTCCACGGCGCCTCCCCTTTCTCCTGGGTGGGTAAGATAATGGTTGGTCTTACCTTCAAGGGCAGCTTGGATGCACTTGCTGAGTCAGGTGCCTCCATCTTTTACTCCTCCCACAGGCTGTCACGGAGACTGCTGGGACATGACACGGTCAGCAAAGGGTAGCACCTCATCCGGTCTCTGCTCTTCCAGAACCTTCTGAGCGCTCTCCTGGCTCCTTCCTCCTGCCTGGAGATGAGAATGGCCCTCTGGTTCCAATGCCAACTTGAGTGCTCAGGTTCCATTGGTAAATTCTCACGCAAAGCACCTCGCCGAGCTTGCTCAGTTCCGCCCCTCACCCCACGCTCCCTGCTAAGCCTAATGATGCCCATTTGTGGGACCTCATCCCCATCTTCCCTGCCAAGTCCTGGCTTACACAGACTGATAAGTCTCCAGCACTAATTCCAACGTGTGCTTCATTAGCAATGACCCGCCATCTTTGGCGACAACAGGTGCAGAATTCTGCAGTAGTGGTTTGTGTATTTACTGATTTGTGTCACTCCTATAGGACAGATATGGGAGACATGCTTACAAGTGGTGTAGGGCCCACATCAGTGGTCCAGAGATGTTCAGATGGGAAAGTCACCGGAGACAGCCCAGCTCCTAACAACAGTGATCACATGTTGGGTGCAACGGGATGTGTCCATGTTTCTTATTTTAAAAGATTTTATTAATTTTCATTTAATTTGAAAGGAGTGGGGGGGGGGGGAGATCACTCCCCAAATGTCCACAACAACCAGGGTTGGGCTAGGAGTCAGAAGCCAGGAACTCTACCCAGGTCTCCCACATGAGTGCCACGAACCCAGATATTTGAGCCATCAACTGCTGCCTCCCAGGGATCCCATTAGCAGGAAGCTGGCTGGCAAGTGGAGGAGCCAGGACTTGAACCCAGGCCCTTCAATATGTGATAAGGGCGACTTACCCACTGCACCCAGCGCCTGTCCTTCCATTTATCTTGCAGTCTCTCAGTGTGTGGTTATCTGTTTAATTCAGTTTTTTCATTCATTTATTCTTCTAATCCAATGCCCATTATGTACCAGTCCACCTACAGGCATGGGGCAGAGAAGGAAGAACACAAAAAGACATAGGTCCTCATCGAGCATAGAGCATCGAGCATCGAGCAAGGCTCTTAACCTGGGACCCTCAGAACTCCCCCCTACGCGGTTCATCATTAGAATTCAGGGGTCTGTGAATTTTCATGGGAAAAATTACAGCAGTGTCTTCACTAACCTCTTACTTCTGGAAACCACTAATTCATTCTCTGTCACCAGCTTTTACCTTTTTTCTTTTAAGATTTATTTATTTATTTGAAAGTCAGAGTTATACAGAGAGAGAAGAGGCAGAAAGAGAGAGGTCTTCCATCCGATGGTTCACTCCCCAGATGGCCGCAATGGCTGGAGCTGTGCCGATCCGAAGCCAGGAGCCAGGAGCTTCTTCTGGGTCTCCTGGGGCAGGGGTCCAAGGACTTGGGCCATCTTCCACTGCTTTTCCAGGCCACAGCAGAGAGCTGGATTGGAAGTAGAGCAGCAGGGACTCAAAACAGCGCCCATATGGGATGCCAGCACTGCAGGAGATGGCTTTACCTGCTATGCCACAGCGCCGGCCCCAATCAGGTTTACCTTTTTAAGAATTTCACACACACATACACACACATACACACCACAGCATAAATAACTTTTCTAACTGGCTGCGTTGACTGAGCATAGCATTGAAGATTCATCAACATTGCATGTGTCATTAGATAGTTCCTCTTTATGATTAAATAGTATTTCACTGTAACAGTGTAGCACCATTTATTAACCTATTTATCCACAGAAGGACATTTGAGTTGCTTCTTATTATTGGTGATTATGAATAGAGGTACTATAAATATTCACGCATAAGTTTTTATGTGACATAAGCTTTCAGCTTACTTCAAATTTTTGGGTCATATGTTAAGTGTGTGTTTAGCTTTATAAGAAATTGCTGTAGGGACTGGTGCAATAGGTTAATCCTCCCATATGGGCGCCGGTTCGAGTCCGGCTGCTCCTCTTCTGGCTTTCTGCTATGGCCTGGGAAAGCAGTGGAACTGCACCTGCGTGGGAGACCCAGAGGAAGCTCCAGGCTCCTGACTTTGGATCTGTGCAGCTCTGGCCATTGTGGCCATTTGGGGAGTGAACCAGCGGATGAAAGACCTTTCTGTCTTTCCCTCCTGCTATCTGTGACTACCTCTCAAATAAATAAAAATCTTAAAAAAAAAAAAAAAAAAAAGAGCTGCTGAGCCAGCATTGTGGCATAGCCAGTTAAGCCTCCACCTTATGGGCTTGGTTTGAATCCCGGCTGCTCCACTTCCGATCCAGCTCCCTGCTAATGGATCTAGATGGCGTTCCAGTCTCCTAGCTTCAGCCTGGCCCAGACCCAGCCATGGTGGCCATCTCGGGAGTGAACCAGCAGATGGAAGATTTCTCTCTGTAACTTTGCCTTTCAAATAAATAAATAAATCTTTAAAAATGAAAGCAAAAAAGCTAAAAAAGAAAAAGAAACTGCCACGTTTTCCAGTGCAGCTGTGCAATTCTGCAATAGGAACTGGTAACATGTTAGAAACCTAATTGTTGGGGCCAGTGTTGTAGTGAAGCAGGTTCCACCGTCGCCATTGATGCCGATGTCCCGTATGAACTTCCTGTACGACATCGAGTCCCAGCTGCTCCACTTCCACTCCAGCTCCCTGCCAGTGCACCTGGGAAAGTAGTAGAAGATGGCCCAAGTGCTTGAGCCCTGCCACCCATGTGGGAACCCATGATGGAGTTCCTGGCTCCTGGTTCTGTCTGGCCCAGCCCAGCCCTGGCTAGTGCAATCAACTCTGTGACTCTGTCTTTCGAATAAATAAATAAATAAATCTTTTCAAAAAGAAAAAAGATTGCTCTGCATTATCCTGGGCTCATGGTATTTTTTTTTTTTTTTTTTTTTTTGCCATTCTGATAGGTGTGTGGTTATCTTTCTAATTTGCATTTCCCTAATGGTCAGTGATACTGAACATCTCTTTGTATGCTTATGTATTGCTGGACATTTTTATTTTGTTGAGAAGTTTTGCAATGCTCGTAAGTAATATAGTTCGATACTTCTTGTATCATCTTCGTCTGGTTTTGGTGTCCGGCTAACACTGGCTTTATAAAAGGGTGGGGAGCAGTCCCCTTGTATTTTCTGGAAGAGGTTGTTTTGAATTGATTGTCTTTATGTGAGCAATATTTGGCACCATTTGCTACAGGCTAGAATATGGGCCTAGAGATCCCTTTCACAAAATGTTTTTAACTGCAAATGCAATCTTACGTGACTGAAAGGACGATTCAAGTTACCTAGATGTCACCTTGGGTAACTCTTACAGAAATCGGACACTGTGTTACTGATTTACCCTTTTATTTTTATTATTCCCTTTCCTTTGAGTTTATTTTACACTCTATTATTTTGAGTGTATTTTACACTTATTCTAATTTCTCAAGTTAGCAGCTTAGATTATGGGTTTGAAGCCTTTCTTTTTTCTAACATGAGCATTTTAATGATATTAATTTCCCTCTAAACACCACTTTAGCTGTCTCTCATAAATTTTGATATATTTGTATATTAATTCAGGTCAAAATATTCTCCAATCACCCTGGGATGTCCTCTTTGGCCTTTGGATTATTTGCAAATGCATTGTTCAATTTCCAAGAGTTTGGACATTCTTATTCTGCTTTTGATTTTCAGCCCAATTCCGTTCTGGTCAGAGAATATACTTTGATTTCAGTTCTTTAAATTTGTCAAAAATTTGTGCTATGGATGGGGCAGGCCTTGTGGCACAGTGGGTAGAGCCACTGCTTGGGACACCTGCATCCCCTCTCAGGCTGCTGGCTTGAGCCTGGCTACTCTGCACTTCCAATCCAGCTTCCTGTTAATGCACCTGGGAGGCAGAAGACGATGGCCCAAGGACACGGGAGATCCAGACTGAGTTCTTGACTCCTGGCTTTGGCCCGGCCCAGCCCTGGCTGTTGTGGGCATTTTGGGAATGAACCAGTGATGGAAGCTTTCTCTCCCCACCCATCACCCACCCCTCGCCTGCCTTTCAAATAAATAAATCTTTTAAAAAACACACACTTATTTATGACCCAGGATATGGTCTCATCTGGTGAAAATTCCATGTAAGGAATGTGAATTCTGCTGTAACTGGGTGGGCCTATAAATGTCCTATAATGTCAATGAAAATCAATGGTCTATCATGTTGTTTGGCTTTTCCAATACCATATTTTTGCTGATTTTTTGGTTTTTCTCTGCCATATTTTGGCTGAATTTTTTGGCTTTTCTGTATTTTTGCTGATTTGGTTTTTCTATACCATATTTTTGCTGCTTTTTGGTCTACTAAGTTCTATTGATTACTGAAAGAGGAATGTTGACATCTCCAATTTAATTGTGCACTTGCCTATTTCTCATTTCAGTTTTGTTAGTTTTTGCTTGATGCATGTGCAGACTGTTGCTTGGTGCATGCACATTTAGGATTGTTGTATAGTCTTGATGACAAACATTATGTATTTCCCTTTTTTATCTCTGGTAATATTTTTTCACTCTGAAATTAGTTTGTCTGATATCCTATAACCACTTTAGTTTTCTCCTGATTAGTGATATATATTTTTGATTAGTAATATATAAGTATTTCCATCTTTACTTTTAGCTTGCCTATGAAACAATAATTGAATCATTTTTAAAATCTATCCTAGCCATCTTTAAGTTAATGAGTTTAGTCCATTTATATTTAGTTACTGATTTTTAAACCCAGTTCTACAGTTTTATGATCTGTTTAATTTTGCCTATTTTTAATTTCAATGTTTTCCTTTTTCCTGCTTCTTTTAGGTTAAACATTTTTTTGTTTTCCATGTATTACACATTTATTATGTATCTCTATGTATAATTTTAAATTAGTTGTTCTAGGGGTTAAAATGTACATACAAGGGTGGCTTTGTGGCGTAGAGGGTAAAGCTGCCCCCTGTGACCCAGTGGTCTATAAGGATGCCAGTTTGTGTCCCGGCTGCTCCACGTCCAATCCAGCTCCCTGCTGATGGCCTGAGAAAAGCAGCTGAAGGGCGCCCAAGTACTTGGGTCCCTGCCACCCACATGGGAGACGAGGATGAAGCTCCTGGTTCCTGCCTGCCTATCCGGGGAGTGAACCAGTGGATGGAAGATCTCTCTCTCTCTGTAACTGACTTTCAAATAAATAAATCTTGAAAAAATATACACATACACACTTCTCAAGTCTGTGTAGAAGTACTTGGATACCACTGTAAGTGTGGTGCACTAACACCATGTAAGTTCCCTTACTCTCCCTCTGTTATGTTGTGGTTGACTTATTTATCAGCACACATTGAAAACCCCACCAGACAATGCTAGAATTTTTGCCTTCAACCATCAAAAATATTTTAAAGAACTCAAGAAGAAAACATTATGAGAATTCTTCAAAAACTTCACAGAAAATGCATATTATGAGAAAATTATGCATGGATTTGAAACTTGCCTGCACCAAAATACACCTATGTTTTCATCCCATTTCCCATTTACTTTTTGAAGTAACTGCATACTTACCCCGGTATTTACCATTTATATTGCTTGTCCTTCATTTTTTTTGATATTCCAATTTCCCTCCTGGTGTCATTTCCCATCTGTCTAAAGAACTTCCTGCAGCAACAGCTGGCGAAGATGCAGCCTCTGTTCTCCTTCACCCAACAGTGTGGTCAGCTCCCCGTCACTCCTGCAGGGTGTTTCACTGAGGCTCGGGGGCTGACAACTCCTCCTGCCGGGTGTTTCACTGAGGCTCGTGGGCTGACAACAACTCCTGCCGGGTGTTTCACTGAGGCTCGGGGGCTGACAACTCCTCCTGCCGGGTGTTTCACTGAGGCTCGTGGGCCGACAACTCCTCCTGCGGGTGTTTCACTGAGGCTCGTGGGCTGACAACTCCTCCTGCGGGTGTTTCACTGAGGCTCGTGGGCTGACAACTCCTCCTGCGGGTGTTTCACTGAGGCTCGTGGGCTGACAACTCCTTTCTTTGCACACCTTAAACATGTTCGTGTCATTCTGGAGAAACCTGCTGTTACGTGGATTGTTCCTGGTGAGCAATGTGTTGTTGTTTTTCTCTGGATGCTTTAAATATGTTTTGCTTTTTTCTTTAGTTTTCAGCACTTTGCTAAGGCTGTGTCTGGGCATGGAGTTATTTGAGTTTATCTAAGATTTTCTAAACTTCTTGAATCAATAGGTGTATGTTTTTCTCCATGTTGGTCACTTCCAGCCATTGTTTCTTCAAATTTTTTTGATGATTATAATCGTTGTGCTTTTTTCCTAGGACTCCTATGACAAGGTTGTTAAACTTTTTGTCATTTTTCCACAGACTCAATCCCTTTCCTCTTTGTTGCTCAGATTTTAAAATTAGAAATTATATTGAAGTCCACTGATTCTCTCCTTTGTTGTCTAACTTTGCTTCTGTGTCCATGCAGTGTGAATTATATTTGTTACAATATTTTCATTTCTAAAACTTCTTTTGGGTATTCTTTGTATTTTCTAAGACATTTTATGTTTTCATTCATTTCAAAAACGTTTGCCTGTACATGTTGAAGTGTTTGTATAATCACTGCTTTAAATTCAATGTCATCGCAGCACTTGGCATCTGTCTTTTCCCGTACAAGTTGAGACTTTCCGAGTTCTTCAAACGTACTTACTAATTTTTTTATTGCTTCCTTGATGTTTGGATGATTGGAAGACTAGATCTTCTCCAAATCTTGTGGAGAACGCTGCGTCCAGGTCACAGTTCCAACAGCTCTTCTCCAGGCTGTGGTTCCTGTATCAGCTCTGTTTGCCAGGACTTCCACTCTGCCCCTGTGTATATATTCACTCTCCAGTGACCGGCCTGGGACCTGGGCAATGGTTTATTTTGCAGTTCCGTTCTCAAGGTCTACAGTATGTTACTCAGGGTCAAGTCTATTCTTGTGCATCTCATGGGTGAGTCCAGAAGTTCATAAACAACTTTATAGGGTTGCTTACCCTAGCTTCTCTCTCTGTCCCCCTCTCTCCCCACCACCCCACCCCTCATCCTTTCCAGTTCCCAGAGGCTTCAGTTTCTGGTTCTCTGGCTAGAAATCAGGGGCTTTACTTAACTGTTCTGCTACAGGCTCCTCACAACTATGTCTGTGTACAGGAACAAGTGAGGACGGAGAGGGGGAAAACAAGCTTTGGGGACTCCCCCCACCCTCTTGGAACTGCGACTCCTCTTCCCTCAAAGCTTTAGGCTCCTACAAACTGTTTTACCCCAGCCATGCAAGATTGTCTGAGGGCTGAGGCCCAAGAGGAGGAAGAAAGCAACAAAACACAACAAGGGATTCCTCCACTCCTTGCTGCTCCCCCAAGCCAGACTAGACAGTTCTTCTGGGGCTGTCTATACCACTGCCCACTCTCCTGAGTCACTGCCTACCTCTGGATTGCAGGCTGCCCTGAATCCAACATGGTAACTCAGCAGCATTTGAAATCCTGTCTCCTTGTTCAACCTGCCAACTCCTATTTGCTTTTCAGGGTCCTGGAGTAGCTACCCCATGCATCCCGTGTGAGTTTTCACTGCAGCATTCTCTAGGAAGGCGAATGCTTCCTCTTCCCCTGAACCAGAACCCACCGGGTTTTTATTTGTTGCTCCAAAAAACATGATTGGAACAGGAAATTCATAGGCCTCATCAGCTGCCAAAGAGGTTTGTGGCACAGAAAAGCTCCTCAGCCCAAGGCGGAGGGCGCGGATCCATGAACTCACCAACCAGCATGTGTGCTCAGGTAGAATCGGTGCACGTCCTTGGAGAGGACTGCGGCTGCTCCAGACTCAAGACAGCTTCCCAGAGAGCAGGAGAGGCAGAGTGTTCTTGGCAGGTGGGAAGGCGCGCTTTGGGAGCCAGGCAAGAAGGAGGGTGTGCAAGTGTGGGTCACAGCAAGGAGTTCACAAGGGCCAGAGGGTGACCCTCGGTGCTCTCTCGAGACCATGCAGAGATGCGAATGGCATGGCTTTATCAGGCAGCAGCGGTGACCTACATTGAACCTAATGTGATTCCAAATCTACTGGAAGCTGTCATCCTGATGGTATCCATCACAGATCCCAACTCCAGCTCTCGCTCTCAGTTCTACACATACGCTAGGCTATGCAGGCTTTTCTCATGCGAAGAAGGAATCCATTCACTCTGTAGGCTTGGCAACAAGCTCTGCTGCTGACACATACACCACTGGTAGCTATTCTGAACTGCTATTTCAGAGATCAAAAATTCAATGAAGAGACGGAAAGCCAAACACAAACATGAAGCATGCTAAAGAATAAAAAGCCAAAGGAAAAGTTTTAATTCCATATTTTCATTAATATAAAGTAGAAGAACAGCCACAAATGAGTGGCATAATCAGTATAATGCATTTCTCTCTGCTTTCTGAAAAATTCATATTTATCAAAGCTTGAGGCAGAGCATGGAAATAACTATGAGGAAATGCAGAAAACACATTAGAAATAAAAAAGGAAATAAATTCCCAAGGAAGGTAAATCCAGCATGCAATAAGATTATTCCAATCCCCATAGACAAACACACATAGGCCCACGTGTGAGCCATCCAGTGGCTTTGCCACAGGGACAATGGGCTGACTCTGACCTCGAGCATGGCCCTCAGAGCCTCACCATCCAACAGGAGGATGCTTTTTTGGGGAAAAATCATATGCTGTTCCCCACGCTATACAATTGTTTACAAAAACATGGCTGGCTAAGGATGAAATGAAAATTGACAACAGTCATCTTAAGAACGAATTTGGTGCCATTGCCAAGCAACTTGCTGGAAAGTCAAAATGAGGTTTTGCCTCCTGTTGCCTCCCATGTATTAACCATCCCCAAGATGGTTCCAGAGAAGAACAAATAGCAGAGTTCTGTTCCATAGCTGAACTCAAAAAGAGCGAGGCTGGCGCCGCAGCTCACTAGGCTAATCCTCCACCTTGCGGCGCCGGCACACCGGGTTCTATCCCGGCCGGGGCACCGGATTCTGTCCTGGTTGCCCCTCTTCCAGGCCAGCCCTCTGCTGTGGCCAGGGAGTGCAGTGGAGGATGGCCCAAGTGCTTGGGCCCTGCACCCCATGGGAGACCAGGAGAAGCACCTGGCTCCTGCCATCGGATCAGCGCGGTGCACCGGCTGCAGCGCGCCAGCTGCGGCGGCCATTGGAGGGTGAACCAACGGCAAAGGAAGACCTTTCTCTCTGTCTCTCTCTCTCACACTGTCCACTCTGCCTGTCAAAAAAAAAAAAAGGCAGCGAGCCCAGAAACAAATGGGTAACCCACAGCAGAGTGTAGCAACTAAAGTCTCAAAACAGAGCCACACCCAACAAATTCAAACACAAGGTCTACACATCCGGGCTGGGCTCCTGGATCCATGCTGGAGAGCAGCCCCCTGGCTGGGAACTGGAAGGAGCCACTGACGTTGAATCAGAAGTTCCCAAGAGTGACTCAGCTCCTGAATCCAATGGGACACACTCTGTTCAGGGAGCAGGAAGCTGGCGGGTGACGAGTAACCATGAGTAACCAGGATGAATGGTTGGTTCACAAGGTTTCCTTCTGACCACGACTTCAGAACTGGCCCCACATTCATCATTGGGGCGCAGAGGCAAAACCACTTCTGCCTGAGTCTTTCCCCAAATTCCCAGTGGGGCTGTCCAGACAGGAACTACAGACAGAGGCAAGGGTCTATGCACCTGCTTGTTCACGGGGAGAAAACACAGGACCGCACTGCAGAGGGCTCCTTACGCCATGCTCTCTGCTGTGCCAGGCAGAGGTCAAGTGCATTGCGCAGGAGGCGAGACACTTCTGACGTGCCACTGTGGGCCCAGTGATGTCGCACATCTCAGCAACTGAGAGAAGCCGACGGCACACAAGGAAGCAGGCCAGACTTGGAGGCAGAAGAGTTTAGGGGACTTTTCCAGACTTTCCCTCCTTCGGGCCTCAGTGCCCTCATATGTAAGTGGCAATGTTGACAACCATTCTACAGGCTTACAGGAGATACAGAGAGCAACGTAAACAAATTATTATTATTAGGTATACATAGATTCTTTGAAGTAAAAAAAAAATGCCCCAATGATTTAATTTTTGCTTTGAATTTCTACTAGGATTCCTGAAGAGATTTATAATTTATAGGCAACAGCTCAGTGCCTTGGAGCAGTGGGATCAATGAGTGATGCCTATCTGGGGGCAGTGGCTCCATGGCCTCCAGCGCTCTGGCTACGGGACCACATGAGTGGGCACCCCATGAGGGGAGAGGATGGCCCAGCACCAGGCCTGGGTCTGTGAACCCACACACCGCCGGCGTGCAGCTGGAGGTACACTCTATACGAGTGGCGTCGGCCCCGGCTGTCTCTCTGTAGGCAGAGGCCCTGACTCGCTCCACTCCCTCCGCACAGCCCACACTGCCTGGAAGCTGAATTCCGAAGTCCCAACAAGAAGCAGATGAAATCCCCTTCCTCTGTCACTTACCACCTGGGCGTCGCGGGCTTTAGAAGCCCCTCCCTTTTTAAACGACAGCCGTCTTGGGATATAATTCACAGGCCACTAATTTAAAGCGAACAGTCCCGACTAGTGCCTCGGCTCAATAGGCTAATCCTTAGCCTGCGGCGCCAGCACCCCGGGTTCTAGTCCCGGTCAGGGCGCCGGATTCTGTCCCGGTTGCTCCTCTTCCAGGCCAGCTCTCTGCTGTGGCCCGGGAGTGCAGTGGAGGATGGCCCAAGTGCTTGGGCCCTGCACCCCATGGGAGACCAGGAGAAGCACCTGATTCCTGACTTTGGATCAGCGCAGTGCGCCGGCCGCAGCGGCCATTGGGGGGGTGAACCAACAGTAAAGGAAGACCTTTATCTCTGTCTCTCTCTCTCACTGTCCACTCTGTCAAATAATAAAATAAAATAAAAAATAAAGCGAATAGTCCCATGGCTTTTAGCTGGGACTCGAACCAGTGTCCATATGGGATGCCGGCACCACAGGTGGCAGCTTTACCTGCTATGCCACAGCGCTGGCCCCAAGTCGGATGATTTTTAAAGCCACTAATAAACAACTGAACTATGGAAAAAAACACACAGCATCCCTGTCTCTTTCCTGGAGAGCATTACAAACTGGTAGAGATCGGGTCCCTTTCTCCTCAAGCCCTGTCCCTAAATGGTGGCGGTTTTAGGCACAGCAAGTCCTCTCCCCTGCGCTTCCATGCACTCTCCTAGACGTGAGGGTAGAGGCATGAGCCACTTACTGAAGTCCAGGCACGTGCCACAGAACAACGTCTCAGTCAGCAAAGGACGGCACAGGCAGGCAGTGGTCTCACACGATCATATCACGTTGGAGCCAGCGCTGCAGGCAGCGGGTGAAGCCCCGCCCGGCTTATGACACTAGCATTTCATACTGGAGTATGGGTTCAAGTCCCAGCGGTTCAACTTCCGATCCAGCTTCCTGCTAGTGCCCTTGGGAAGACAGAGGAGGATGGCCCAAGGACATGGGTCGCTGCCACCCACAAGAGAGACCTGGGTGGAGTTCCTGACTCCTGGCTTCCGCCTGGCTCAGCCCTGACTGTTGTGGCCATTTGGGGAGTGAACCGGCAGATGGAAGATCTCTGTCTCTTAATGTTGTTCTGCCTTTCACGTAAACAAATACATTTTTGAAGACTGTAACACCTGATGACCTAACTGTCTCCGTTTGTGTAAGCACTCTGTGATGTTCAGACCATGACCATATCACCTACTGAGGTTCCCAACAGGAACCTTATGAACTCAGCCCAACCCAGGAAACACTTAGAAAGAAAACACAGTAGAGATCAGTAAAGCGCAGGTCCAAGCCTCGGAGTTCAGGACACAGAGCAAAGCTTCCCGTCACGTGCAAGGCCACCACTCGCAGGCCTGCCTGGGCAACGAAGGAGACACTCGGATCGCAGGGAGAGGCAAAGACCAGAGCGGTAGGCAGGTAACCTGGGCGGCCAAAGCCTGGAGTTACACGACCTCAGCTGCTCTGAACAGAGAGGCAGGAGGGCGAGGGGAGCCAGCAGCAGGGCAGGACATGACTGCGGGGGATGTGTGGGGCTGGCCACACCTTGAACCTCTGACCACTTAGGCTGAGTCGACACAGTGCACCCGGAGCATTCTTCTGGATGGAAACTGTAATTCTATTGGCCACGAGCAAAAGGGAAAAAAATTATCTCAGTATAGAATGACTAACAGGATGCTACATCTTTCATTTTTTTTCCCACAGTCGCTACGGGGGAAGTATTGTGGTTTTCTGCGTTTCTTCCCCAGTGGAAGAGTAAAACTCAATGTGGCATCACGGAAAAATACAAGGCCGCCACGAAGAAGCCGCCTGCCTGCCTCCGCCTGAGAGAGGCACAGGGAAGGGGAACCGCGTGGTTTTCTTCCACAGGGGCTCAGCCCTGGGCGCCCCACCCCCTCAGGGGCCAGTAGGCAAGGGCTGGCAGGGCCCGGTGGCAGCCCAGAGGCGGAAGCAGGAGTGGAGTTCACCAGTCCGAGGATGGCTGTGCAGGAGCAGGACAGGCGGGGCGTCCATCCCGCCTCGGCGTGCCCCCTCTGAGAGACAGAGGATGCTGTTTCCTGAGAAAGTTCTAGAATGAGATGTCCACGCCACACACGCTGGTGTCTGAGGGTCGCCGGTGCCTGGGCGCCTCCCCCAGACATTGTCATGTCATGTCACCTGAGTCCGTTTGGTGGGGTTTGGGCCTCTCGGGACCAACGTCCTCCAGTGGTTGCTGCCTCTCCTCTAGGACATCATAAGGAAAAGTCCAAAATGTCGGCCTTGGAGCCGGCGCTGTGGCGTAGCAAATAAAACCACCTCCTGCAGTGCTGGCATCCCATATGGGCACTGGTTTGAGTCCCGGCTGCTCCACTTCCGATCCAGTTCTCTGCTGCTGCCTGGGAAAGCAGTAGAAGATGACCCAAGTCCTTGGGCCCCCGCACCCGTGTGGGAGACCCAGAAGAAGCTCCTGGCTCCTGGCTCCTGGCTTTGGATTGGCACAGCTCTAGCCCTTGCGGCCAATTGGGGAGTGAACCTACGGATGGAAGACCTCTTTCTCTCTCTGTCTCTCTCTGTGTGTGTCTCTCTCTCTCTCTGCCTCTCCTTCTCTCTCTTTGTAACTCTGACTTCCAAATAAAAAATAAATAAATCTTCAAAATGTTGGCCTTCTGGGTGCCAGATCCCCTGCCTCTCCCTATCCTGGTCACCCTTGGCCTGGGACAAGGCCTGGCTGTGCTCCACACACACCGCTTCCTTCCAAGCACCCCAGGGTGCACCTGCTGCTGCCCCGCCTCCCCATCGGGGACTGTCACCGTCACAAAGGAGTTCAGCATCCCTCAAGGTGGCCTCGAGCCTACGGGCCTCTGCTCCAGGGAGTTTCAGCACACTTCTGCCAGCTCCCTCAAGTTGTCCCAGGGCCCTGCCTTCCCCCACCTCTGAAATCTGCTTCTCCAATTTGACACCACATCTACCAGGGTTCTGACTTCAGATTCATAACCACTGTAACACTCAGAATTTGTACCTTCCCAGTGGAGGGCTGGCTTCCCCCACTGGCCTCCCCTGCAGACCTGACTCTCAGCCAGCTGTTAAGTTTGGGGAAAACCCAGTTCTCTGTTGCTCACCACGGGGCTAGCTGGTCGTGGGTTACATGCAAACCATGGCACCCGCCTCCTTTAAGGCCCGCCCACCTGATCATCAACACAGCTGACACCCGTGCCTCGCTCGGCAAGCGACTACCACAGCGTTTCCTCTCCTTCCTGTCAAAGTCTCCAACGCGAAACACAGGACTCTCATACAAATACTTAATGAACATGTGACTCACTGCTGAGCAAGCCGAGAAGGTAGTAAAAGATGGCTCCAAGAGCATTTGTGGGGCCGGCGCTGTGGCACAGTAGGCTAAGCCTCCACCTGTGGCGCCAGCATCCCATATGGGCGCTGGTTCGTGTCCCGGCTGCTCCTCTTCTGATCCAGCTCTCTGCTTACCTGAGAAAGCAGCGCAGGATGGCCCATGTGCTCGGGCCCCTGCACCCACATAGGAGACCCCGAGGAAACTCCTGGCTCCTGGCTTTGGATCAGCACAGCTCCGGCCATTGTGGCCATTTGGGAAGTGGACCAGCAGATAGAAGACCTCTCTGTCTCTCCCTCTCTCTGTAACTCTACCTCTCAAATAAATAAAATCTTGAGAGGAAGAGAGAGAGAGAGAGAAGGGAGAGGGAGAGGGAGAGGGAGAGACTCTGTAGCATTTACTGGCATTTAAGAACATCAGAACTGCTGGGTTAGAAACAATTCGTATGAATCCTCAAGCAGGAATAACAAGACCATCGCTTTGGTACCTTGTCCAAGGAACTCACAAGTTAACTGCAACTCTACTGTTTCCGGACTTGTCACCAGTAAATAGTAACATCAAACACACGATTTCAGATGATTTCAGAATGAAATCATCCCTGGGTGAACCTGTCAAACAGTGCCCAAGGATCTGCCCCTTTGCCTTACTCCTAAGTTTGGGATTATTTTTCTTAACAATCCCTCCAAAGAGAAAAGCCTAAACTGTTATCTCTGAATCTCCAAACTTACTCCTTCTTGAATTACAACAGAAAGGAAGAGAGAAAGCCGTCAGTGCACCCCTCAGCCCAGTGGGCACCTGAGCGACTTCACACAGGAGGAGTGGCATTCTGGCATCTCCCAGGTACAGACGGCCGTCAGCTCTCCCAGGACAAGTCCTGGCCAAAACCACAGCCACTTCGAGTCCCAGGCCAGCTCCTCAGGACTCCAGGAGGTGAGCCAATGCTCTCTGCACCCCCTCCCCTAATGCTCTGAGGCCGAGGATCCCACACGGAGTCCTTACAGGACTGAGACAGCCCAGTGTCCACCCACGCTGGTCGGGGGCTCATCAGCCTCCTTTGCGGCAAGGGTCTCTCCTTCACGCTCTTGATGGGTTTGGAGCCACCACTTCTTGCTCTCTGCCCTGAGACGGCTAACCATTGAACAGTGTCTTCACCCAAACCTCTTTATTTGAAGAAATTTCTAAGCCATAATTTCTTTGAGGTTAAATAACCCAAACTGTCATCTTAACCCTATTATTAGTTGTGCTTTGCTTAGTTTGAGAGCCTTTTGGGTCTCCCCTAAGCCCAGAGAGAGCACAGCCGGGCCCAAGGGTCCATGGCCTCACAAGCCAGGGCCTCGCCTCCACCCCCCAGACCACACTGGCTTTCTCTGAAAGCCTGGTGCAGTTCACACGTGTACAACACAGGGAAGCTAGCTGTGGGGACCCTCCAGGGCTATTTCTCATCTTATTTTGCTTGCTCAGTCTTTCTTTATTGTTAATGGAAAATTTTCTAATGGGTTTTTAGCATATGGTCATTGTTTTTAAAAATGAGGAAATCATAGTTCAAAAAAGAAAAAAAAAAAAAAAAAAAAGGCCCCACCACACTCCCAGGGGTCAGGAGCTCGCCTATGCCGGAGCTCAGCATTTTGGTTGGTTTTGGTTGTTTTTTTCCTGATTATCTAAGAAGAGATCAGACCATATGGGGCTGCTCCGGAAGCGCCTGGGACTTTTTTCATGCAACAAAGGTCACAGAGGCTCAGCCAGGGCCCCACACTCTCCCCTGCTCGGGTGGCCCCAGCCTTCCCAGCATTTGACCGTCGCCGTCACTACAAACCCAGTTCGACCCCAAGGCAGCTCCTCATCCCGGCACCAGTCCTCGTAGCGGTGTGGGGGATGCAGAGACAAAACAAAATGTCCCCAGCAACACTGAGGTGTCCACCGAAGAGAAGCCAGCTCAGGAAGTGGGAGAGCAACGGCACAGCAAGCACCCAAAGGCGCTCAGACAGGAAGGCTGGGTGCACGGGGATGTGTGTTCCCTTTAATTTTAAAAATAATTATACAGGGTGGGCACCGTGGCAGAGCAGGTACAGCTGCCCCGGGATG